CCCCCCCCCAGGGCCGTGCACAGCGGGGCTTCTGCGCCGAGCGGGGCGCCGGCCACCGGAGGGCAGGAGGCGCCCAACCGGCCCGGGGCCGCCCCTCGCCAGGACGTTCAGGACGGCGGGGCCGCAGCCGCTGGGAGACGCCCCAGACCCGCCCGCCCTGCCATCGCCGGAAAGAACCAAGCCCGACAGAGCCCCCTTCCCGGCATCATCTCCGCCCCCGCCCGCCCGGGACCCCAGCCCAGGCCGCGGGCGGACGGGCGCCGCGCTGTCCCGAGACCCTCGCGGCCCGCCCCGGGCCCCCTTGCAGCTCCCCCAGGAGCCCGCCCCGGGCCGCCTCACCTCGCCGCGCGGCGGCCATCTTCCCGCCCGGCCCCGCCCGCCCAGTCCGCCGCGATCCCGGCAGTCTCTCGGCTCCGCACGCTCGCGTCCCTTCGGCCATTTTCGCTTCTGCTCGCGAAGGGGCCCGCCCGCGCCGCGCTTCGGGAGTCGATTCGACCCGCGGCCGAGGCCCGTGCGACCCGCCCGGCAGCGCTCGGGCACTTTCGTTCGAGAGGAGCCGGAGAGCCGAGGCTCGGGAGTGCCCGGGCTCGGCGGCGTTCGGCTCTGTTCGGCTCCGCCTCGGACGGACTCGGCTCCCGCTCGCGGCGGGGGCGGGCGGAGCCTGCGGCGAGAGGGCCTCTGGGCCCGGCCGCGCTGCGTTGGAGATCGGCGAGATTCGGCCCCGCAGCGGCGACCCTGTTGCGGGGGGCGACGGGTGGCGCCGCTCTCTTGGGCGCTGAGTGGGGCGGGGGGGGGGGGGTAGCGCAGAGCCGCTCGGAAGCCGTCGTGCCGCCTCGGGCCAGTTCGGACCGACTCGGCTCCGCACTTCGGGCCGCTTCGGCCCTCCTCGGTTCCGGACTCTTGGCCGGCGGCAGGGCTCGACTAGGCCGCTTCGTGCCGGTTCGGCCCCTGTTCGGGCGGCCTCGGCTCGGCGGGGCGGGCGGCTTCGGGCAGGCTCGGCTCGGCCCGGCTCGGCTGGCAGCTTCGGGCGGCCTCGGCTCGCCTCGGCTCGGCTCGGGCGGCCCTGTTCCCGCGGCGCGCTTCGGGCTCCGTCCCGGCCTTCGGGCGGCCCCGGCCGGCGCCTTCGGGCGGGCTCGGCGGAGTCCGGATGGAGGACTCGGACTCGGCCGCCAAGCAGCTGGGCCTGGCCGAGGCGGCGGCGGTGGCGGCCGCGGCCGCTGTGGCGGCGGCGGCCGCGGCCGCGGCGGGAGGCGAGGCGGAGGAGCCGGTGCTCAGCAGGGACGAGGACTCGGAGGAGGACGGGGACTCGGAGGCAGAGCGCGAGACACGGCGGGTGACGGCCGTGGCGGTGATGGCCGCCGAGCCCGGGCACATGGACATAGGCGCCGAGGCCCTACCGGGCCCCGACGAGGCCGCCGCGGCCGCAGCCTTTGCAGGCAAGTGCCGCCCGCCCGCGGTTCCCGCGCACCTGCGGCGCACCTGCGGCGCACCTGCCCCGCGCACCTGTGCGCACCTGCCCCGCACGCCCTGCCTCCCACGCACACCTGCCCTGCGCGCGCCCCGGCGACCGGCCTGCCGCTGCTCCCCCGAACACATGCCTCCCGCACGCCTCGCACCTACCTGGCGCGCCTGACGCCGCGGCACGCCTGCCCACGTCACCGGCCGGCCCCGCCCGCTGTGCGCACTACCCCGGACCTGCTTCCCAGACCTCTTAACTGGTGCCTGCTCCCCCGCCCCCCGCGTGCCGCGCTCTGCGCTCCTTCCAGAACCTTCCCGCTGCCTGCTCTTGCCTTGCCTGTCCTCTTCCCTGTCTCTGCCTGGCGCGGGTGACCCCGGGGGCCGGGGCATCGGACGTGGGTCCTGCCCCGGAGGGGCTTGAGGGTGGGTGTGTCTGGTCACCGGGAATCGTGGGCGTTAGTTCAGGGGTGACCTGAGAGCCAGGGGGCAAGACAGTGCTCACCCAGCTGGGGAGGCCCCGTGACCTCTGGGAGCAGAGGCCAGCTCGGG